ATGCAGGACGCACGCTTCAGCAACCCGCCTGCTCGACCTGGCCGTTTGGGCCCGCCTGTTAGGGTCTACCTGCCCGATCCGGCAGTCTGGTTCAGCTACGTGTTTTCTGCTCCCTCTCTCTCTCTCTCTCTCTCTCTCTCTCTCTCTCTCTCTCTCTCTCTCTCTCTCTCTCTCTCTCTCTCTCTCTCTCTCTCTCTCTCTCTCTCTCTCTCTCTCTTTCTCTCTCCGTTTTTTTTTTTTTTTTTTTTTTTTTTTTTTTTTTTTTTTTTTTTTTTTTTTTTGTTTTTTTTTTTTTTCTCTCTCTCTCTCTCTCTCTCCCGCCTCGCTCGCGCGAGCTTCGTGCTCGGATGTGCTGGGGGGCGTGAAAGGATATGATCATGATGATGTCGTTGATGGTGATGATGCTGACCATGATGATGATGATGATGGTGGTGATGGTGGTGGTGATGGTGCTGATGCTGCTGCTGATTCTGATGATAATTATGTTGGCGATACTGTTGGTGATGCTGGTGTTGATTCTGACGATGGAGATGATTATGATGGCAATGCGTATGATGATAATTATTCTTATGATGGTGGTACTGCTGATGATGGTTATGATGCTGACGGTGATCATGAGGATGGTGATGATGCTGCTGGTGATGATGTGGACGAGGAGGATGATGACGATGAGAACGAAGAGGAGGAGGCAACGCGGATTAATATTATTGTGATAATGATGATGATGAGCCCTCCGGTAACACATGCGTTTTCCAATTGAAGTGCCCCTCCTTGGGTTCGCCCACTGTTCCTGATCATTGAACATCTTGCTTAACTTGCGCCCCTGGCCCCCGACGTCAGCAACGACAACAACAGCAACAACGGCGGCTTCGAGTGTCTGGCAACGCGTATTTCGTAAACCCTCGATGCCCGCGTTTTTCGTCTTCGGTCGTGCCCGTGTTTTTTTTTTTTTTTTTTTTTTTTGGGGGGTGCGTTTCTTCCCTGCAGGCTGGGCCCCGGCAAGCGGCGCGGCGGCCGCGGGCCGTCGGCCTGGCCAGCGGCGCCGCTGATCGGCGGCAGCCCGACCCCAAAAAGGGCGGACAGGGGGCCGACCGCGACGGCGACGACAACGTCGACGACGGCGACGACGACGACGAGCGAAAACGATAGCGAGAAAGAGAGAGAGAGAGAGAGAGAGAGAGAGAGAGAGAGAGAGAAACAAAAACAAGAGAGAGACAACGACAGCAGGGCCACGCAGAGCACGAAGTAGGCCACGAAGGGCGACGGCGGGAACGCGAAGGGAATGCGTATGGGGCCACGACGAGCGCGATCGAGCGGGGGCCACGAAGGGCAGATAATGCGGCGCCACAGAGGGCAACGACGGGGCCACTGATGGTAGCAACGTGGCCGCGTGGGACAGCGAGGGGGCCGCCAAAGGCGACGGCGGGGCCGCGAAGGGAAGGCGCATGGTGCCGCGATGGGCGCGGTCGAACGGGGGCCACGAAGGGCGTGCGTATATTGGGCCGCGGAGGGCAAGGGCGGGGCCAGTGAGGGCAGCAACGGGGCCACGAAGGGCAGCAACCGGGCCGCGAAAGGCGACGGCGGCGCCACGAAGGGCATGCGCATGGGGCAACGACGGGCGCGAACGAGCGGGGGCCACAGGGGGCATGCAGATATGGGGCCACGAAGGCCAGCGAGGGGGCCTTGAAGGGCTGCAACCGGGCCGCGAAGGGCAGCGAGGGAGCCGCGAAGGGCTGCAACGGGGCCACGAGCGTCAGCGAGGGGGCCGTGAAGGATTGAAACCGGGCCGCGAAGGGCAGCGAGGGGGCCACGAAGGGGTGCAACGGGCAACGGGGCCACGAAAGGCAGCGAGGGGGCCACGAAGGGTTGCAACGGGGCCGAAAAGAGCAGCGAGGGGGCCACGAAGGGCTGCAACGGGGCCACGAAGGGCTGCAACGGGGCCACGAAGGGCTGCAACGGGGCCACGACGGGCTGCAACGGGTCCACGAAAGGCAGCGAGGGGGGGCCGCGAAGGGCTGCAACGGGGCCACGAGGGGTATTCCTGAGTAATCTGCGAGGGATGTCCAAGCGTGAGCGCGACTCCTGGGTGCCTGAATGTCGAGAGCGCGGCGCATGAGTAAATTTCGGGAAGTTCCAACGCAAAAGCGCTATTCTTGAGTAGATTGCAAGCGAGTCTCCAGCTAGAGTGGGATTCCAGAGCGCCGAGAGAGCGATTCTTGAATAAATTGTTAGGAAGTCCCAAGCGAGAGCGCGATTCCTGAATACAATGCGAGGAAATCTCTGGCGAGAGCGGGGGTCCTGGCTAAATTTTGCGGAAGTCTCAGGGGGGAGCTGTTGTTATTGTAGCCCGGGGGCTAGGGGTTTTGTTTGAGGAGGAAGGCTTTCCCTGATAAGAAACAGGGTGCGAGCGCCGGGAGGGGCACTTCAACTGAAACAGTACTATGTGCACCGGAGGGGGGATCAACAATAATGATTCTTCAGTATTGAGAGTTCAACAACAACAGCAACACCGACGACGACGACGACGACAACAACTGTTCCCGCTTGATGTTTCTTTGCAATTTACTGATGAATCGCGCTCTCGCTTGGGACTGCCTTGCAATTTACACAAGAGTCGCGCCTTCGCTTGTGACTTCCTTGCAGTTTATTCAGGCCCCACGCCCTCCCCATCCAGGAATCGCGCTCTCGCCTGGGACTTCTCCCAACTTAATTCGGAATCGCGCTCTCGCCCGAGATTTCGTTGCGAATTATGCCGGGTTCACGCATTTGCGTGATATGCGTGTTTTTCCACTGAAGTGCCCCTCCCAGGGCTCGCGGTGTTTTTACCTGGGGAAGTCTTTCTGCTCAAACTCCTGCCCCTGGCCCCTGATTTACAACAGCAGCGGTTCCCGCCTGATATTTCCATGCGATTTATTGAAGAATCGTGCTCTCGCTGAGGACCTCCTTGCAATTTTTGATAGGAAAGCGCACTCGCCTGATATTTCCTCGCCATCTAATCTATTCAGGCGTCGCGCTTTTGACACTCAGGAAACGCGCTGTGGCTTGGGACTTCCTCGCGATTGATTCAGGCGCCGCGCCCTCCACGCTCAGGAATTACGCTCTCGTTCTGGATTTCCTGACGAGATCTATTTTGGAATCGCGCTGTCGCTCAGGGGTTCCTCGCGATTCATGCAGGACGCACGCTTCAGCAACCCGCCTGCTCGACCTGGCCGTTTGGGCCCGCCTGTTAGGGTCTACCTGCCCGATCCGGCAGTCTGGTTCAGCTACGTGTTTTCTGCTCCTATCCCCCGTGTTGCTACTCTCTCTCTCTCTCGTGTTCCATCCTCCTCTCTCTCCCCCTTATCCGTTCTTCCCATCCGTCCTCTCTTCCCCTGCCTGAGGTGCTGCACGAAATGCACGTGGTAGTGAACATATACACCCAAGGGGATACGATCGAAGACGACGAGGGTGGGTATCGAGGGTTTGAGCTATACGTGTTGAATGACACGCGAGGAGATAAGACCGAACAATCTTAGACTTACCGTTGTTGATGTTTCTTGTTGTTGGCTTAAGAGCATACTTTAGCACAAGCCAGACTCTGTATTACCTACCCCGATGCTTTTGCTATCACCTTTCGTTCCACGCCCGTGGCGCCGAGCTGGGCAGGACTGGGCAGTAAGAAAGGTACACGTTCGGGTTCAAGGACAGGGTCGACTCCTGAAAACCAAAAAGTAGCAAAACCAAACGCCATGATGGAGAAAGGTGACGTGGAGATCGTAGATGGGGAGAAGTCCGAGACGGAGGTGATACCAGAAGTCAAAGGGATAAACATAAATAGGATGGAGGAGCCTCCAAATTGGTTTCAACAGTACGAAGTGCGTCAAAACAAAAAAGCTAGACGCATTGAAGGACGATATGAACAGTGTCAAACACATGATTGACCAAGCGCGGATCGAGGCACAGGACGCAAGGAGGGCGGCGGAGGAGATCCAGGATAAAATGGAGGAAATAGAGTTGGAGGTGGTGGGGTGGCCCAGAACGACCTCGACGACGTATACCTAACCAAAGAGCAGATCGAGCAGATCGTAGACAGTAATATCCAGGAGAGCAGACTGACTAAGAGAAAATCAACACGACCACGGACAACAACCCCGACAGCAAAGCCACCGACGACAAGAGCAAACTGATGGTCGCACTAAGGTTCAAACAGCAGTTGGAGTCAGAAGATTTGGTGTCAAAGTTGGAATCTATACTGAAACGGATGCTGGGATTTGGTGTCAAAGTTGGAATATATACTGAAACGGATGCTGGGTGACATCAAAAACCTCGACATCAACACGTTCAAAAACCCCACGAAGATAGCAGCAATGGTTACGTTCCCAGCCATATTAGATAAAATTGCGTTTTGCAAGAAGTACGAGGAACTTGATGACAAGACATGGTTGGACTGTTGGGCTGGCCTAGGCTGGGCAAGCTGCAGGTGCATCGTGGGGGTGGTGGTTCTGTGGCGCGCGTGGGGGGGATGCCAGAACGCGTCGTCCGGCGGCGTGGCGCGGGGGAAGGGGGGTCTCGCCACACAGTTTCAGGGACCCAAGTCCTCCCCCCCCACCCCCCCCGCCCCACCGCAAAGGCACGTGCCCAGGCAGCCGTGGCCCACCAGAGGCTTTGAGACTGCCTCTGACGAGGGGCGGGTGCTGAGTGCGGCGCCCTGCCGCCCCCTCTGCTGCGGGCAGACCAGGTCGGGAGGTGGAGGGGCAGCCGCGTGGCTGCCATGGAATGGAGTTTCTCAGGAATCCCTCCGCCGCCCCCCCTGGCCGTATTCGCAGGCCTACACGTTGATACCAACACCAATATCGGCGTTGTGCCTCCACCTAGGGAAGAAGATCCCGATCTCGGTGATTATGGTAATATTCTGGCTTCCGGGGTGATTGAAATATTTTCCACCAACGCCAGAATCTAGGATCGTCTTCGCCCTGTGGAGGCAGCCCCTGGTGCTGGTGCCCATTTCCAAACCTCCAACGTTTGGCTCGAGCACGCCCCCCCCGCCGCTGGCGGCCCCCCCCCGCTGGCGGCCCTTGCCGCGAGCAGATGGGCGCAGCGCTGTGCTTCGGCCCGGTGTCACTGCTGGACCCCTTTGGGGTCTGCGCGGCGTGCAGCCGCGAAGGCGCCGAGGAGCGCCGCGGCGCTCGCAAGGGGGATTGGCGCGAGGGTGGGTGGCCTTGTCAGGAAGCGGCGGGGGCCTCGCACCTTGAATTTCCAGGAGGGCTTTCAGATATCACCAGGACCGCGACATCTGCATATCCGCGTCGACGTTCTCGGCGGCCGAGGCAGGCCGACAGGCCTTTTTTTCCATCTTTCTCCGCGCCCTGGAAGGTCACGGCGGAGGGAGGGGGCCCTCTTGGAGGGCCCCTGGGGCTTCCCGAGAAGGCAAGAGGCCTCCTGCCCCCCGCCGCCTTCCCGAGGCCCACCCCGCCGCCCTCTCGAGGGGGCCGCCGGCCCTCGCGCCACCGCCCTCCGTGTAATTCGGGCCTGTCCCTCTGCAGGAGGAATATTCCAACACAGCAAAGCAATCGTCTGGGGATTCTGAACATAAAAAACCATGTTTGAGTTTTTTTTGTTGTTGTGTGTGTGTGTGTGTGTGTGTGTGTGTGTGTGTGTGTGTGTGTGTGTGTGTGTGTGTGTGTGTGTATGTGTGTGTGGGGCTTTTTTTCAAGTGTTTTTCTGCCAAGATCCGCCTGTGGGGGGACATGCCCGACCTGACCCTCTGCGCGCGCAGCCCAGGAGTGGGTCGCCGGCCCGGCCGAGGAGGACGCGAGCGCCACGCCTGGAGGTCCGACGTCCCGATTTGTTCAAGATCGGGGCCGTCCACGAGGGGGGAGGAACGAGGAGACAGGAGGAGGAGGAGGAGGAGGAGGAGGAGGAGGAGGAGGAGGAGGAGGAGGAGGAGGAGGAGGAGGAGTAGGAGCAGGAGGAGGACGAGGAGGAGGAGGAGCAGGAGGAGGACGAGGAGGAGGAGGAGGACGAGGAGGAGGAGGAGGAGGAGGGAGAGAGAGGGGAGAGAGGAGGGAGGAGAGGGGAGGGACGAAGGGGTGATGATAGAGCGGGCTCGGTTTGCAGCTGGGGCTGAGAGAGTCTCAGGAATGAATGTTTACATTTTCCATCGTCTCTCTGGGTCAAGCGCATGCAGCCACACGCCCAGACCTCTGTTCTCGCAGTGCTGTGTGCACTATCGAACCTGTACTGGGCTGGGTTGCGATCGGCGGAGCCGAGCCGCTTCGTCAAGCTCGACGAGCCGCTGGACGTCGCGGCAGCTGCTGTGGGGGCCGCGGACGCGGCGGAACGGGCGGAGGCCGCCTCGGGAGAGGCAGGCGCCGCGTGCGAGAGGGTAGGCGCCCGCCTCGACCGGGTCGAGGCCCGCGTTTCCGAGCTCGCCGAGCTGCTCAGGGCGCGGGCGGCCGCTCCTGAGCCTCCGCCCCCGCCGCCCCCCGAGCTGCCCTCGTCGGCTTCGGCCGCGGCCTCGGCGGCGGTCTCCGTGCTCCTGGGGAGCTGGCTGCTGGAGCTGCTGAAGGCGGGGGTGGCCTGCTGCCTCCGTCCCGTGTGCTGCCCGAGCAGGCGGCGCGATGGCGACAGCTCTGCAGCTGCTGGGAGGAGCCAGGGAAGTGTACTTCCGCCAGGACGGCCAGCCCGTCGCGGCGGCGGAGTGGTGCGGTAAGATGCTCGCGGGCCTCCACGTGGCGATCTTCTATACGGGCGACCCCGACTATTGGCACGAGCGAGTCCTGCTGCGGCCTGCTAGTCCCGAGTCTCCCCGCAGGAGATGGTTCGTGGCCACGCCTGACGGAGATGTATACGCCGAGCCGATCAGGTCTGGGATGGGCTGGGGATCTCGCTTCGCCATCCTGGACTCCACGGGCGGCAATGCCGTCATCCCGCCAGGAACGCTGTACGCCTGTGGGGAGCTGCCCACCGATGACGACCTCGCGCGGCAGATCACCGAGGCCATCGAGGAGGCGACTTTCGACGGGATCCGCATCGCCGCGCAGGACGAGCTGAAGTACCTGCGGCGTGGTGAACGTGAGGTGCCACTGGGGGACCTTGTGCCGCTGCCGCCCCCGCTGCAGGCGGCCGAGCCCCTGGTGGAGGTACCTCCGAGCGACCACGGGGGCGCCCCAGCCGCGGGAGAGGTGTCTCAGCCCGTGCTGGGAACGGACACGCCCCGCGGACGGCGCGTGCCCGAGCCTAGGTGCGTCTGGGTCAGCCCCGAGACGGTGCCGGGCCAGATCGCCCGCGATGATGAGGTGAAGCTCAGCGAGTCCGCCCTGGTCGACGACGACCGTGCCATTCATGTCCTGCCCAGCGGCAAACGCATTGCCGCGCGTCTGGCCGACCTCCCCGTGGAACCGCTGGTTGACGAGTCGGGCTTGGGGGATGCCAGAACGCTGTGGCCGCTGCGCTATGACTCCCATGGGCAGCGACATCTGGACTACCGCACGGGCGTGCTTGAGCTCCGTGAGGAGGCCCTGGGCGCTTTCCCGCTGATGGGGGAACGATCGTTCTTGTGGCTTCAGCGGCGCGTAACCGAGCACGGAGGCACGCCCGACGGCCGCCGCACCAAGCACCTCGCGGAGGAGTCCCTGCAGCCCGACAGCACGGCGGGCCACCTCCATGACTTGCTGGGGCTCTCTATGTTTTTGAGCTTGGTATACGACCAGGTCCACGGGTCCAACTTAGCATGCATGGAGGTGGTCGCCAGATGCTACCAGCAGGTGGAGGAGGCAAAGGGCCCCATGCGCACCGAGGGGCTGGAGTGCTACATCGGGCGCGATCAGGGCGGCGCCATTCGGCGAGGTATCCCCATGGCGCCAGGGCTGGCGCGCCACGCGACCGACCAGCTGGCAACGGAGGTGGAGATCGCCAAGCAGCGCCGCAAGTTCAGGGAGGAGCAGGCGGCGAAGCGCGGCCAGGGCGGCCACAGCAACAACAAAAAACGAGGTCAAGGACGAAGACAAGGCGAACGAGGACAGTTCGCCAGCGGGGTGAACTTCGCGGGGGCCACGCGTGGCGAGCGCGCGCCCGATCCAGAGAGCCACTCAATTCACCCTGCGGGGGCCCCTCGTGCTGGAGATGGCGCATTCCCAATCAACTTTTTCTGCGACCCTGGCACGATCCCCATTGGCCGCCGCAATGGTATATCAGCATGTATTTTGAAGCGCTCCAGGGAGACGATCGAGGCGCTGAACTCGATGGCTGGCTACCCGACCTGCGGGCCCGACTCCTCGGCCCCCTCTCCCTGGCACCAGTCGCTGTGTGAGCGAGTGGTACGGCTACGCACTGAACATCGCCCGCCTACCTCGGCGTCGTCTCGGACGGCTTGTGGGGAGCTGCTGGGGCAAGCCCTCCTCAGCTACGCTGGGGAGGTTACGCCGCTACGGTCCCATGCGCGACACTTGGTCTCCTCGCCTGATGTCGGCAACCGGCCTGGGTGGCTGACAGACGGGCTCACCGCTCGGGACCAGTCTATTCTCTTGGATCGTGACCACTCGCTTGTGCTGCCGCAGCCCGAGCTTGAGGAGGTGATCAAGACTGAGCAGCGGCCTCTACTCTATATGGATCCTGTTTGGAAGAATCACGCGAATGCTTACCATGCGTTTGTTCGAGATGGTCTAGCGCGAGGCTGCTTCCGTGTCGGCCGTCATCGACGGGAGGATGTGACTGTCTTCTTCGTCGCAAAGAAGGACGGCGGGTTGAGGCTGGCGCTGGGCCGTCGCCGTTCTAATCAGAGGTTCACCAAGCCCGATCCAGCGGCGCTCTTCAGCGGGGCCGCTTTCGGCGACTTCGAGGTGGAGGCTGGCCAGGCAGCCTGGCGCGGAGGGCAGGGTGTCAAGAGTGCCTTCTACCAGCACCGCCTGCCGTCCTACCTGTGCGACTACTTCTGCTTGCCGCAGGTGCGCGCTGGTGCTGTGGGAGTGACGCGCGTGCTGGGTCGACCCGTCGAGCCGTGGGGCGTTGTGTATCCGCAGATGTCAGTGGTGCCAATGGGCTGGTCCTGGGTGCTCTACATGGTGCAGAGGGCTCACGAGTGCTCTCTAGACGACCACCCCCTCTTCGCGACCTGCCCCGGATCCGTCGACTTCCGACCGCCCCCCTCGGCGCAGGGCGGGCCAGCCCACTCGCTGCGCGTCGACGACGTGCTGCTGGTGGGCGCCGACGAGGCGGAGGTCACCGCGAGGAGACGTCAGGCCTCTGCCGCCTTCGCCTCGCAGGACCTCGCAGTGCACTGTGTGTGTGTGTGTGTGTGTGTGTGTGGGGGGGGGGGGCGCCGCGCAGGATATGGATATGCTGGGCGTCGGGCTGACAGGCTCGCCCCCCGCCGTCCAGCTCTCGGCGAAGCGTTTCTGGAAGCTGCACTTCGGAATCCAGTACCTGGTCGAGGTGAGGCGTCGGGCCACCAGCAGCGAGCTCGAGCATCTCATAGGCCATTGCACCTTTTGCGCGCTGGTTCGGCGTGAGGCCCTTGCCAGCTTCTGCGCAGAGTACGCTTTCATTCGCTCAGGTTTTGTGGAGTGGGGGCCTCTGTGGGACTCTGTGAGCCGTGAGCTGACAATCTTCCAAGGCATCCTCATCCTGCTATCTCGTCGTCTGGATGCATGCGGTTACAGCCGCCGACGCGTGCGAGACGGGTCGCGCGTCCGTCGTCGCCGATGCGCCGATCGACTTCGTCGAGCGAGCGGGGGGGTGGCAGGAGAGGCGGCGATGCCGATGCCGACATACTCGATCTGACGATGGTACCTACCGACCACGTGACCGAGCGAGGGGCGCGGAGGAGCTGGAGGGCGAGGGCGGGGGCGTTCGATCGATCGACGACATGCGAAAGGTCGGCGAGGTGGATCCGAGCTTCCCCGAGATCTCTCCCCAGTATGTTAGGGCTTTCCAGCATCGCAGGCTCATGGGGGACCCCGAGGCCATGCGTCGTGAGGAAGCCCGAGGAGTAGCCGAGGCAATTCGTGTACATCTGTCTGACCCACTACGTTGGGGTAAACGGGTACTTCTCCTGGGCGACGACCTGGCCTCTCTCTCGCTTCGTCGAAGGGTCGGGCTCGAGATGCGCGGCTTCTCAATATCATGCGCCGCTGGTCTGCCCTGCTGCTTCTCACCGGCACAGTCGTGTGTCGCAGATGGCTGCCTTCGGAGCTGAGCCCTGCGGATGAGCTCAGCCGCTGGGAGCGCAAGTCTGGCAAACCGCTGCCGGTCGCGCTCGCCCCGCCTGGGCTCGCGCCCCCCGCGGCCAGGCCAGCGCCTGGCGCTGGCGAGGGCTGCGGCGCCGGCGCTGGAGGCGCTGCCGTTCCCGAGGCGAGGGGAGGCCCCGCGCCCATCGAGGACGGCTCCCCGGCGGGCGCCGCCTGCCGCGGGGGCGGCTCCGCGGCCGCCCCGCGGACCGCGCCTGCTGGGCCTGCAGCCCGCGCGCGGCTCGGGCGCGCCAGCGGCTCCGCTGCTGACCGCGGCCGAGCGGACGACGCAGCTCGAGACGGCCGCGTTCGGCGCGCGCGCCGCAGGGGGGCCAGGGGCGGGGTCGCTCAACGCGAACGAGAGGCGGCGGGCCTACGCGCGGCAGTCCACGCACGGACCTGCCCGCGACGCCGCGCTCCGGCTGGGGATCGCCGAGCAAGCAGCCGTCCAGCAGCGGACCTTCGCCAGCTACAACCGGTTGCTCTCTGCCTTCGTGATCTTCTGTGGCCTTGCCAGTCTCATCATGCCAGCCCACTCGCTCGACGCACGTGTCGTGCAATTCTTCGATCGCCTGTGCCTGC